ACAATCTGACAACCCAACCCGAAAATATTGGGTTGAGTTGGGTTGGGTTGACCATCCAATTCAAACCCGACGGTTCCTATATATGGCCAACTCGAAAATTCGGATTGGTCCTAAAACCCCTCCTAACCCGACCCAACCCAACTCGTGAACAACCCTATCTATATATCCTTCATTAATGAAAATAGTCTTTATCGGATTATCTCAAACCCTAGTCTTTACACGATATCAGAGCTCTAGGTTCCCTCTAAAATTTTTTGAATCTTAGGTTTTGTGCCCATTAGGGTTTTAAGTTTCGCAAGTGTTCATCGGTATCGTCGCTACAGTATCGCCACCCACTACCGCCGTTGCTATCGCCGACTACTGATGTCGTCGTCTGTTGCTGTTGTGTCGGGATTTGGGTTTGTGATTCGTCTCATCTACTGCTCTTGCCATGGACTTTGGAATGAAGAAAAGTAAGTCATATCATTCTATCTTTTATAAACAATCTGAGTCCGGTGTTATCTTAAAAGTTGTATATGTTGATGATATTGAGATTACTAGTAATGAAACATCAGATATCGTATCACTCAAGACTTTTCTTCATAGTCAATTCCACCCTAAAGATTTTAGAATGTTGAAATACTTCTTAAGAATTGAGGTAATAAGAAGCAAGAAGAGAATTCTTTTATCAGAGAAAATATGTACTTGACTTGCTAACTGAGATAGGAAAGTTAGCTGCTAAGTCATGTAGTACCCCGATGATGTCTAATTTATAACTTACAAAGGAAGGAGAGTTGTTGAAAGATTCTGAGAGATATAAGAGGTTAGTAGGGAAGTTGAATTACCTTACAGTTACTAGGCCAGACATAACTTATCCAGTAAGTATTATGAGTCAGTATATGAGTTCTCCTACGACTGACCATTGGGCTGCATTGGAACATTTTCTATGCTAGTCATCTTAATATAAAATGTTTTTCAGATGCTGATTGGGCAGGTTCTAAGGAAGATAGAAAATCAATCTCAGGATATTGTGTCTTTGTCGGAGGAAATTTAGTTGCTTGGAAAAGTATGAAACAAAATGTGGTGTCGCGTTCAAGTGCTGAATCAGAATATAGAACTATGACACAATCGACGTGTGAATTAGTATGGACATATCAGCTTCTAACGGAATTGGGATTTGGCATCACCACTTCAATGAAACTTTGGTGTCATAATCAAGCATTTCTCCATATTGCAGCTAATCTAGTATTTCATGAACGAACTAAACACATTGAAGTTGATTGTCATTATGTACGTGAGAAAATACAACAAGGATTGGTGGCTACAGAATATGTAAAGACTAGAAAGCAGTTAGGAGATATTGTCACTAAAGCATTGAATGGAACACAGATAGATTCTCTCTCTAACAAGCTGGGCATGATTAACATATATGCACCAACTTGAGGGGGAGTGTTAGAGTATTTATATTAGTGTATTTTATAATATTGTAATAATCTGTATTAGTTTGTCCTTTATCGTCTTTTACATTGTTAGGTCAACCTTGTATATTTGTCTATACATATCCTTCATTAATGAGACTCACAAATCCTAGTCTCTACAAAAAGCAAACTCCCAAATCACCTCAATAAATTTAAGACGGAAGTGAAAAGAAAAATCAGTGAGGCAAAAACAGATAGTGGCAGCAGACAAAATAATAGAAAAGATTCCATACAGTAAAGACTAAAGAACAAATCCAACGATAAAAGAAATTTGCTTAGTAGTTAGGATATAGAAAAAAATACACATGATTAGAAAATTGCATTGCCAATAGATATGCAATGCCCTCTTAGAGCACTATCAGTGACAATTTCCATAGGTAATTTAAACATCAAGAACATTTTTTAAATTCTGGATGATGTACAATCTGCAATTTGATACAGTATCATATATCTGATTTACAATAGCTTATCTAGTCTCCTTTTTCTTTTCCACTTCTTCATAAGCTAGCTGATCTTTGTGAGGAAGCAAACAACCCATGATTTTTTCTCGTGATACCTTTACCGATGTAGAACTCTTTAGTCCCTAGGATCTTCAAAAGTTTCTTTCTTCTCTAAAAGATAGGAACCTACTACCTATAAGGATATCAGTTTCATAATTTAGTTTGAATTGAGTTTTTGTTTCTTTATTAATCTCATTTTTCGTATTTCATTGTTATTGTAAAGTTAGTTCATTGGTGGGTGCACGATCAGTTTTTCGTTAACGTCAAGGTGAGAAATACTTCCAGTTTTTTTTTTTTTTAATTTATTAAAGAAACAAAGCTTGTATATTCAAAAGAAGGAAGGACAACTTAAGGGTAGGGGTAGAGGAAACCCTCAAAACAAAGACAAACTACAAAAGAACATCTCGATCATACAAAATCATGATGAGGTTATAATTACAAAAGATTTCTTTCTGGTTTTAAGTTTTTAACACCACCACGAAGAAAGTAACACTTTGCATTACACCAAAAAATCTCCTTGGTACTGACATTATCTACAAAAACTCTATGGTTTCTCTCTTTCCAAAGAAGCCACAAGAAAGCCCAAACTGCACAATTCCATAAAACCTTGGCTTTGTTCTTAAAACTGAAGCCGGAAAAGCATTCCATCACCAAGGTCTAAATCCAATTTGGAAGACAAACTGAGATGCCGAACTCCTTGAACAACCAATGCCAGCCAATTGCAGCTACTAAATTTTGAACTTAAAAATACTTCCAGTTCGATCCTTCAATAAATAGTAACTTTCTCTCATCTTCAAGATGTTTTGTTCTTGATTCAAGAACAAAATAGTTTTTAAACATCGTAGCCCTGCTATATAAAGATGGTAATGATTCGCCCTAGCAGCCTCAATCATTGCAAGCCTCCAAATTTGACACGTTTCTTCTCCTTGTTTTTGGTGCCCTTCCTCTTGATTCCTTCACCTCAGAGGAAGAAAAACCACTTGACTTCTACTGTTGTGACAGAGGTTTGAGACTAAAGAGTGGTTGAATCATTAAATTTCCTCCAAAGTCTTGCAAATACATCCTAGAATGATTAAATAAATATCCTTTCATCTTTAGTTCAATTTATCTTTGGATTTTCTTCATCTTGTGCAAGGGAATCTTAGCGCTAGCACACCATATTTTTCACAGTTTTAAGCTATCTACAATTTTCATTCTAGTGACCTTGTGGCAGGACTGGCAAAAGTCAGCCAAGTACTTTAGCTGTTAGGAGCGTCAACAGTAGCAAACCCTTCTTTTCAATCCCTGCTCTAGCATATCTTTCTTCACTAATGAGGAACTGGCTAGCCAAAAAGAAAAGTCATTTACATTCCCTAGATTCTATTGCCCAAACGAAGTTCTTTGCCTAGCAAGAGTCGCCTGCCAAGGGCTACGACAATGGTAAACTATAACGTCCTTTTAGGATCTCAAACTTGCTTTAGTAAGCAAGGTAACTCACTGTCTTCTATTAAGAAATTTATACTTCAGATATGTTTTGTGGAATTTCTAGCTAAGGTCCTCTATAAAGGAACAGATAAGTTGTGTTTCAATGTGTTGTTATGAGATAGATTTCAATGTTAGTGGTGAGCCTCACATAACTTCTTTATGAACTTTGTCTTTATTTCAACACTTCAATTATTATTAAACAAAAAAATAGAGCACCTGAACAAATGTTCCTACAACAGATCCTGGCACAAGAACATCCCAACCCTGGGACCCAAGTGTACTTCTGACTGCTTTCAAAAGAATAGTGCAAAGCTTCGATACCTGAAAAATAACACTACAGTTTCCCAATAGAATTTAGCATCATCTCTTAGTCTACTAACTGTAATGAAGATAAGAAAGATAAAATAACGCAAACAATTATACCTAGCACGAATTTCAGCTTCAGCATATGTTCTCACACTGTTCTCAGGGATCCCAAATGCTTTTCCAAGCACCTGAAACGAATTCCAATCAGAGATTCTGCAGAATGTTACAAACTATCTAACTCGAACAATAAATAATTAGGTTTACATTAACGTAAGACAAGTTACAATTTCCGACTGTAACTAGAAGCATAAGAAGCATATAATCCTATACAAAAGTCTCAAACAAAGGTTTTATTTAAAATGGTGAGATTCCTCGAGAACTATAGCCATTTATAAATTTCCAGTAGCCCACAAAACCACCACACAGAATAAGTTCATTGTTCAGGAAATTACCATCACATTAACTAGTTATATTTATGATGCATAGATATTTCTTTTACCTGAACTTTCTCAGGGAATATTTGAAGAAGTGCTTCAGAATATTCTTCAGTCAGCCTCCTTGCTCTATCAAGAGTACCCTTAAGCCTCAATGCCCAAATTTTTTGGCCATCTTCACTTCCTTTATTAAAACAATAAAAAAATTCATGAGGTGGTTATCTAAGCATATAAATCATTAAGTCAGACAAAAGGATTCATCAAGATAACTCAAAACTAATATGGGTCTATCTCAACTTTCAACTTTCAGATTTGATGGCTAGAATTACTGATTGATAAAAGCTATGAAAGGCCCAGCACTTTAATTTGGGTAACGTGTCCAAGTCAAATACTCGGATACTTGTTTGAAATATGCTGACACTTGTCAAGCACAATAAATACATGTCCAACATTTATTGAACAAATTGAATGTGTCAAACATCTGTATGTTGGACACATGTTGGACATTTTCCAAGCACAATAAACACATGTCAGGCAGTTGTGAACATATGATGAACAATTTTTACACACTTAACTAAATTGTTCAAACTTTTATTTATTTGTTTGTAGAAAAGAATTGTGGAAATGAAAAGAAATATAGGGGAGAGATCATAAATTTTTAGGGTGAAAAACATCAAACTTGTTCTTTTTAAGTACATAAATGTATAAGCATTATTGACTTTTAAGTTCCCTTTTCTAAAAGATGTTAAATTATTGAGGAAACAAAATTTTAAGTTGGTTAGGATGTTTTTGGAATATGTTAACATAAGGCCCTGTATTATTAGATCTATGTAACTAGCTCTGCCTCCTTCAACATCTTGATGTATTGCACTTTTTCTTCCTCTGGATTGGTGGTCCTTCATCCCATAAGTTTGGGATTCAATAGTATTTCCTCGGGAATTCCAAAGGACTGTATGATACAGATTTTGGTGTTCTCACCCATTTGGGGAGAAAAATGTTGTGGTTGAACAAAATAACTGGGGGAGATTTGGTTGGAAAGAATAGAAGGATTTGAGGCAGTAAATAAGAATATTTTTTATATATTAGATTTAATATCTATAGCCTCTTGATAAACATACATATATTAAAGCCATCGGCAAGGGGGAGCATGTTTGTAATCTCCTTCCACTTTAGGTTCGGAGGATGTCTTATCCTCCTCCTTTTGTATATGGTTCTTCTCTATTTAAAGAAAGGCCCTAAGTTTCTTTTTTTCTTTTCTTTTTTCCTGAGGATCAATTAGGCACAAGAAAAATTGGTTGACGCAAAGATTAGGAAGTAAGCAAGCATGAAGAGAAAAAAAAACATCGGATAAATGATGATATTTATGTAAATGAAGGTGGATTTAAATAACAAAATGTGCTTTTGTGAGGGAAAAAATGAGAACAGTTAGGAAATAGGCTAATGATTCCATGCTGTACTGGACCATCAGAAGATCTTTATTCTTTAATGCAATATTTTTTTTCCCAAAAAAAAAATACACACTCTTATCAAATAAGCAAATTAACAGTAAATCCATTTTCTGATATTTATATTTTTTGTTAAAAAAAACGGTTTTCTATATTTTGCTAAAGACGACAGTTACCTTCCCTTTCAGCGAGACCTCTCTCCTTCCAAGCACAAATCTCATTTTCAATAGCCACACACTCCTCTGGCTTCCATCCAGATAAACCCAGCTGATGAGTGCCAAAAATAAGGGCATCCAGTGGATCATTCCAAGAACTTACATTCTTTGACTTCACATTGTCTGCCAGCCAATCAGCACCCCTTGTTGCCTCAAGCACATTTAAGAATCTAATAACATCAGTGACATTAAAGACCATCAGAATAGATCAACTTTCAGTTTGGTACTTCCTATCTAGATTATACTAGTGATATTCAACAAAAGTAATTATAGTCCATATAATAAGCTTATATATATATATATATAACTGGACGTACTTAGCAAGCCCACACGCTGAAGCCCAATTGGATATTATTAAGCCCAGACTGATGATAGAGGGAAGAAGGGTAGTGAGAATTTATAGGGAAGGTTTTACTTTTAACTCCCACCACCTTAACGATGTGGGAAGCAAAAAAGAACAATTTTCAATATTCCTTCTTTTAAGCCAACAACCCCTTCCTCTCTCATTCTTACATGTTCTCTCTCCTCTCTCCCTCCCTATATCTTCAGTCTTCACACATCCAATTCATTCTCTCTTTTTATAAATTATTTATTTATGTATTTTAATTAAAATGACATGATTTTTATTCTCTTTTTTCCTATACCTACATTTTATTTTTTTTTAATTATGGAACTTTTCTTCGGGACAAGAAATGTGGAGTGGGGATTTGAACCTCTAACCTCAAGAAAAGAAATAGAAATAGATACATCAACCGTTAAGCTATGCGAGTGAAGAAAACAGAGAAAAAAGAGGAAACCGAACCCATAAAGGGCATTACAACCCTCAAAACGATAATAATAGCAACATAAAGATCATAAGAACTTCTTTAAGAAAGAACCTCATAATACAATCTTTTTGTTTCTTATCAAAAGAAAAAAAAAAGAAAGAACCTCCTAATTGCAAGAAAACAAACTCAAAAGCTTTAGGTATCTTGATCATCAGAAACATCTTCTTGAAGCAGACCTTTGAGATCTTGAGAAAACTTGGCTCTAATCTCAGCAATCTCTCTATCCCTCTCAGCTTTTAACTCCAACTTTCTTCTGGAATGATCTTCTAACAGAACAACCCTTTCTTTAGGAATTTTGATAAGCTCTGAATTAAGAGAGGACAAATAATCAT